ATACACACACACACACACACACACACACACACACACACACATATTATCATTGTTTGTAATAAAAATACATTATTTATTAAAAAAACGTAAAAATAAAAAGAAGTTAGGGCTTTGGGGACTATATATTTGTGATGTTTTATTACTGTAAGCCGCCCCGATTACATCTGCAGAGGGGTGGGATACAAATAATTTTTTTTATTATTATTATTAGAGTCAGGTTGCAGATTTGGTGGCATCGATAGGCAGGTCCGAAACGTACATGAGTTACATGGTCCAATTGGCACTGCAAACCAATTAAAAAGAAAGCAATCCCCTATGATCCAGAACCTGAAAAAGCTACTTTTTAGACTACTGGCCAGTGGCTGGGGGGGGATTCTGGGATGGATAGTCCAAAAAATAATATTCCTAAACTCTACTCAATCATGCAACAGCAGTTTTTAAATCTGTAAGTACCTGACTCTGGGCTAAAGGAGGAGCAGGGAGAAATAGGCTCAAAGATATCTTGTCAAAAATATTCTTCTTAATATTTTTTTTTTGGCTTTGTAGTTTTTTGTTTTTTTGCTTTTTGTTTTTTGCTTTTATGGTTAAGCACTCGGAAGGCGCTCTGAGCCAAATGAAGTTATCTGCACACAGAGAAACCTATAATTAAGAGGAGGCAGGCAGGTGCAAAGTCTTTCCAAGTCACAACTTGGTTCAGGAGGTTTTTAAAGAAATCTGGGTTTTCAGTGGCCATAACTGTTGTTGTTGTTGTTGTATGCCTTCAAGTCATTTCCAACTTATGGTGACCCTCAAGTGAACCTATCTGGGGCTGAGAGTGTGTGACTCATCCAAGATCACCCAGTGAGTTTCCATGGCCAGACAGGGAATCGAACCCTGATCTCCAGAGTCATAGTTCAATGCACAAACCACTACACCATGTTGGCTCCATATAATACGGTGAACTAAACTAGACTATAAAACCCGATATGATATACACTGAACAAAAGTAAATAAATAAATAAGAATAACACTGGCTTGTTGGAAAAGAATACAGAATATCTGCATCTGAAATCCTCTAGGGCTGAAGTGGTTGCTAAATTATCAGTAAGCTGATACTCAGTTACCAAGAAAGTGTCAAACGGAGCAAGCAACAACATTAAAACAATTAAACAATTAAAAATAAAGGAATCTAATGGTAGTCTCAACTTTTGAAAATTCATTTTTATTAAACATAAATTACAACAACAAACACTAATACTATACACACACATGACTCAAAACCATATAAAACTACCATATAAAAACTACAACGAAAAAAGAAAAAACAACAACACAACTATCCTAACACACACACACACGCATACACAAACCCCTAACAAAAACTAGTAAACATTCTGACTTCCTCCCCCAGAAACTGATGGTTATATCCCCCTATTACTAGTCTTTTTTTAATTTATAATCTACTAGGTTTCTATGATATAAGCAAACTCCATTACAAAACCTAAAACTGATAATAATGGTACTCTCAACTTGAGCAGATCCACTGAAATGAATAGGGCAAAGCTGTACAATGTAATTTGCACAATGCTACAATATCCAGAAACATTCTCTTCCTACATGCTTTTTGCCCTAGAGTCATGTTCCATGACACTTAAAATCTTACAGAGATTAATGGGAAATCTTGGGAATCTGACAGCACTACCACAGGAGAATGTTATAGTCAATGTTCACACAAGAGATAGCTTCAATGAAACTTTATTTGGAAGGATGAATGTTCTTTTTAAAAACGAAGAAGAGAAAAAATAACAAATGAAGGAAAATGAAAGAGCGGGTGTTTAGAAAGCATTTGGTATTTTCTGGCATCTCCATCACCATCAAACCTTGATAGCTTCACATAACATGTCAGGAAAACTGTTCCCATGGGTTAGAACGGTTTTCCTTATCTTTGAAACCTTGGTGGATGCTGTGCTGGAAACAGCAAGAAAGGACACAAGGCTTATCTTTGGCACAGAGAGGCAAAATAACCGTTTATCACTTTTTGTGGTTTTAGAGCAGGAGTAGGCAACCTTTTTGAGCCGGGGGCTGGTCCCCCGAAGTCGCCTCTTCCGCTGGGCCGAGGGGGGGGGGGGAATGGCGGCGCGCGCGCTCATGCGTGCACACACACACCACCACATGTAACCTGTGCATGTGTGCACGTCACTGCCGCCATGCATGTCGCGGCTGCCATTTTGTTCTCTAAAATGGCGGCCACGACGCGTTTGCGCATGAGTACTGCGCATGCGCAAACGCGTCACGGCTGCCATTTAGGAAATCAAAATGGCAGTCACGGCACGCGCAGCCACACGGCAACTGAAATGCGCGGCGGCGGCAGGGGTCCATCTGGGCTGGTAAGTACAGGGACCTGGGCCGGAACCGGCCCACGGGCCGTAGGTTGCCATATCCTGGACAGCTGGTACTACCTTTGTTATCAGCACTTTTGCCATCAGGTAACACTATGCAACCTTTGCATGAGCTGAATTTCAAACTGCAAAAATTCTCTTTTGCAGAGCTTTTTTGGGGGGATTCTGTAGTCCCCAAAAATAAGTTCCCCAAACTCTGTTCTTCAGGAGCTACACATTTTATGCAGGGTTGCACATTAAAAAAAAACTTAACCCAAACCAAAAGCCTCCCAGCTTAGCAGAAACCAAGTCTATCATATTTAGTAGATCTGGTGAGTCAAAAGGACAAGACCGATTGCGCACAGAGGGGCAGGGTATCAAATAAAAATTATTATTAATTATAATTATTATTATTATGTAGTACTATGTCTACTGAGAAAGATAGAACTTGGGTCTCTGAAAAAAACCTATCCCTGTCTTTTCCCCCCACCAGACAACATGTACGGACTAGGTCTTCCCACATCTGTTTGAAACTGTCAGTTCTTTCCATGGCATCTTTATAGACATTTAATGATCTCTGGGCTTCAAGGCATTTTTAAAGTACAGGTTGAGTATCCCTTATCCAAAACTCTGAAATACTCCAAAATCTAAAAACGTCCACATGTGTGGCTGAGATAGTGACACCTTTGCTTTCGGATGGTTCAGTGTACACAAATGTTGTTTCATGCATACAATTATTTTAAAAATATGATTTATTAAATTACCTTCAGGCTATCTGTATAAGGTGTATGCAATACATAAATGAATTTCATGTATAGACTTGGGTCTCATCTCCAAGATCTCTCATTATGTATATTTAAGTATTCCAAAACCTAAAACAATTGGAAAAGGGAGACTCAACCAGCAATATTTGTGTATCCAAATGGATACCCAACCCTTGCTCTTTAGACACCCAGTCAATACAAACGGACACACAGAATTTAATCAGTGAGATGCAAGATTCCCATCCCTGTTTCAATAAGTAACTGGAAACTAACATTAAAAATAACTCCCGCGTTTACAGTCCTAGATCATTCGTGCTTTTAAATCATTTTTCTTCTTCTCCATTTCAGTACGAATTGGTGGGATTTTTCTTCTTAATTTAAGCATTATCAGCAGTGGGACGGACAATCAAAATAGCTAGGATATTGATGTTGGTAAATGAAAATTTGCAGGTCTCCCCACTTTAAAAAAAACACACAACATTTCAATACAATGTAAACGTCAAGATTGTATGTAATAGAGAAACTTCCACTCCTGAATCTTCTGAATGGGAGAAGGGATGCCCTGCGGGACTTGATCAATAAATTAGCTGGTGAAGGAGAGCTTACCTGTTCAGCTTGCAATCCACCCCATAGATTCTGCTTTCCACCACACACAGAGATCCTTGAGCACCTTCTGCAACAGGGTTCCTTATTACTACAACACACGAGAAACTACTAACTTCTGAGGAGCCACATGCCTGGACTGTCTCAGCTCCAGGACTACACTGAGAGGGAGCACCTCCCAAGCCTTCAGGAGGAAAGGGAAGTTTAAAAACTGGCAAGTTCTCTTAAAGCTACACCACAAATCACTCCAGAGTGGAGGGGATCACGTTGCACTGCAACTCCCAGTGTTCTTCCCTAAAAAAAATATTCTGGTGAGGGCTGAAGAGATACAGTCCAAGAAAAAAAAAAGGACACCTACAATTGAAGAATGGCCGTTAAAAAATAAATGACATGATGGAAATGGATGAGCTAACAATATTAATCAAGGAAAATTAATTAAAGGAATATGAAGAGGAATGGAAACATATGGTAAGATCCTGGAGAGAAAAATGGGGAGACTTAGCAGTCATAAGATCAAGTTAACAAAATGATGAAGGAGAAGATTAAGTGTGAGATAAGGAAAGCTAAAGATTAGGTTAGAATAATGAGGAAAAGGAAGAATAAATATTGGAATACAGAGACACACACATATATATATATGCAGCTCTGTAATGACTCCCCCCTCCACATTCAATACAATCTCATGCATACATACATACATACATACATATATGTTATTATTGTGGGCCTTCAAGTTATGGTGACCTTAAGGCAAACCTATCATGGGGTTTTCTTGGCAAGTTTCGTCAGGGGGGGGTCCCGTCTCACTGTCATCCTTTGAGGCTGAGAGAGTGTGACTTGCTCACAGTCACCCAATGGGTTTACGTGGCTGAGCCAGGATTCAAACCCTGGTCTCCAGAGTCATAGTTCAACCACTATGCTCAAACCACTACACCATGCTGGCTATCAATAGGATAAATTGATTACATGAATATATGAATGTTATATATATTTAACAGACGAAAACTTGCAATCATATGAAAAGAATATTGATATTTTCATAGAAGGATGTAGAATAGCAATGAATGAATTAACTAAATTGAAGAAAAGTATTGTTAAACCAAGGTGAATAAATCAAATTCTGAAGGAAGTAATGAAGGGGAACAGGGGGATGGTTTGATTGTAAAGAAAAATAATAAAATGCTTATTATAAATAATATTAGCCTTTACTAAAAATCGATAAAGAGAAAGAGAGAGAGAGCTACAGCTCAACTACTTGTTGAAGGCTACAAGTGATTTCCACCTTAGCCAAAATGTACAGTGAACTTTCCCCATGTACAGGGGTTCAATTCGGGGGGGGGGGCCTATAGATGGCAAAAAACACAGATGGTCGTACCCCATATTATTCAATGGTGGCAACATGCATGCAATACACGCACATGCCACCACTGAATAAGATAGGTAGTGATGATCTGCAGGCAGTCAAATTCACACATTGTCAACCCGCTGATAAAGGGTCTATAGTATTACATTACTACTGTCCACGCTCAGAACTCACACCATCCCCAGCATTTCTTTCAAACATGCACACAAATATACTGAGATTACTCTACATCTTGTCTGGACCAGCCGCTGCAAGAGCCACCCTTTCACTAGCTCTCAACTGCAACTACAAAAGGGATCTTTCCCTACAATTCATAGGTAAAGGGATCAATTGGTGAAGACAGGATGAAGGTCTGAGGCACACACCAGGATACAACTGGAACCCATTCACCCAATATAGTTATAGCATTATAGCAGAATTCAAAGACATAGCTGTGTTGGTGTGGAAAATCAGTATGCAAAGGGGTCTTGTAGAATCATAGAATCATAGAGTTGAAAGAGACCACAAGGGCCATC